CACCGGTTCGTGGGATTTTACGAAAAAAAACAACAAAAAAATCACAAAACGGACAGAACATTCATGTGTAAACTGAAATGCTTTTTACTTTGTACTTGCATTTTGGTGGTCCGCGACAGTTTAGGGAGGCAGCGAGACGGTTACTTGTATCAAAAAGGTTGAGAAACACTGCTTTAATATGTCAGTTCGAAATTATAGACGACCTCTTACGCAGTGTAGACTTGCTAAAGTTTTGGCTGTAAGTGACTGTTCCTACTTATTTCTAACGCGGGACGACGTTTCGGTTTCTTCCCTAAGCTCGAAGAAGGCACCAATATATATAATCCGAAACGTCGTCCTACTCTAGATGCAGGCAGGAACAATCCATTAAAGCCGAAAACTTACCATTTTGCTTAAACCAAGTTTAACTGTCCAAAAGGCTTAATTTTCTACAGGCTGCTTTAATTGGAGACAATACTGAGTACAAGTAGCAGTGAATCAAGAATATTCCAATGGTATTGTTTATGTTATATGTCTACATTTGTTTTCTCACAGTTGGTTCTTCAGTGGCTCAGCGGAAGATCTGCGGACTTATAACGCTAAAAATCGGGTTTCGATACCCGCGGCGGGCACAGCACAGATAATCCGTTGCGTAACTTTGTGTTAAACTCCAAACAAACAAATTCACTCTCACAATTACGATGTTCACTACCACCGTACTTGCAAAAAAATTACCTAGGAATGGTTCCTATTTCTAAGAACAATATCAAAGATTTAATGATCAGTACAATTCATTATAAAAACTTAACGAGCCTAAATTATGCTTTTCATCTTTTCCGAAGAGTGCTAAGGAGGGGGGGGGGGAGGGGAGAAAACGCCTTTCCAGATTGAATATTTAATGAATTCTAGTTAGGCGCTCTTAACTACAGGGTTACTTTTCATTTTTTTTTATTGGATTTCTCTTGACATTTTTCATCCTTTTTCTGTTTTATCCGACTTCGTCATGATTACAGCGACACACTGTAGGTTGATTCGTACACAAAAACAGTTGTCTCCGATTGTAGGTGAATTTCCTTCAGAGACGAATAATTAAACATTCTTAAATTTCTCTCTCTCTCTCTCAACAAATTAAATTTAGCGTACAAGTGTAACCTAATTATGATGAAGCCCGGGAACAGTTGGAAGAGTTCCTTTTTTAAATAAGTTTACGTGTGACGAGCTCTACACCGCTGGATCTGAAATTCGCTAGATTCTGCAGCGAACATAATTATTATTCATTTAGCTTATGTAATCCAGAAGTTCTCTGACGCATGCTTAACGTGTCCCTGCTTTGAAGTTTGCCTATGCATATATAATTATTCTAATCCATTTCGGCTCACGTGATCGACACGTGTATCTATCTGTATCGGTTACTAAATCAGAGAGAAATGGTGCAATTTGTTAAGATCTGTTTTACTAATTATTGTGAACTTCTAATTTACATATACGTGTATTTACGGAAATCACATTTCCAAATATACGAGTTTTATTACATAGAGTTGTGCGCATGCGCGTGCTCTTGCGAGTTGGATAAACACTTTACTTTTGATGACTTCGATACAGCCAACATTTTGAGAAACGGGCAGTGTTCCATACTTATACAAGAAACAGGAAGTGTTCCCTACTGCCACATGTAGCTTACAAATCACGTTTCCAAATACACGAGTTTTGCGATATGGAGTCGTGCGCTTTGTTTTGCGAGTCACGTAAATACTTTTGACGATACATAACAAACGGTTAGTGTTCCATCTTGACGTAAATTGCTTTCACTATGTTTATCTGACCAACAAATTATCAATTTTCTCTCGCGTCGGCTGTATAGGACAATGAAAAAAGAAAATAATAATAACACGTGGTTGAACCGAGCCGATTTCCTGTTCATTTTACTTTACGGAATATTACCAGTGCTCAAGTCCTTACGACTTTGGTCTTAATTGCCTTACCGTTTAAGACAAAGTACATATAAAACCTTTTGTGAGCGCTAAACTCTCTATTTGACCAACTAGCGGGCACCATTAGACGCCCATTAGAAAACATACAACGGCAGTCTTACAAAACAAAGACAGTACACTAGATCAGTACATTTTACCGAGCGAATCACCGGAAAGATTGCATATATGAGAATTTGGAGCATTAGCAGTTGCCGAGTATCACTTTTATGTCTCAAAGTACTTTATGAAATGATTTATGTTGCTGAGTTATTAGTAGTTTCTCGTGTAAAAAGGAGAGTGAGAATTTTAACGGTTTGGTCAATTACAAAATGTACCATACAACGTAAAACTATATACTAAATAACAGACACCAATAGAGACATGTGGCAAAAGTAGAAACTAAATAAACGCACCGGATTAAAGACAGGTAACTGTGTTTTGGAGAAAATTAAAGACATGATCAGGATTCAAGACAGGTAACTGTGTCTTGGAAAGAAAACTAAATACATGATCAGGATTCAAGACAGGTAACTGTGTTTCGGAGAGAAGAAAACTAAACACACTATAAGGATTCAAGACAGGTAACTGTGTTTAGAGAAAACTAAATACATGATCAGGATTCAAGACAGGTAACTGTGTCTTGGAAAGAAAACTAAATACATGATCAGGATTCAAGACATGTAACTGTGTTTCGGAGAGAAGAAGACTAAACACACTATAAGGATTCAAGACAGATAACTGTGTTTAGAAAAAACTAAACATGGGCTTATGGTTAAAAAAACAAAAACATTTATTTATGACAACAATACGAAAATTGTCGCTTAAAATATCATATGCAATATTTTACCACGAAATAAAACAAAATATAAGCTTCTTTATCTGACTTAAGTCGACTTTAAACCTTATTCAAGAGGTTTCACGTGCATAAAATAGCTCACGTTTCACATGTCCAATTGCCAGGTACGATGCCATATGTCTATGATGTCAAATTTCTTATTTGTCAGAATTAGCTGAAACGAAATATTATCAGACAGAAAGATAAATTCAAAATTTCGTTAACTGTAATAAGGTATAGTTCTGCCTACAATATGTATCCTATTACTTATGTATAAAATATTTTTATTTGAATATGTCACGTATGATCTTAGATTTCATTGTAAAGATTATTTTATCGTGTTTTAAGTACTTTACTTTTAAACGTTAAATTTGTCTGTTCCGGAATGTGTATTGTTTTCATCTTTCACTTAGCCCGCATACAGTGCTTCAAGATTTTAATCTGTGTTGTAAGAATAAGTTCACTTCAGATGTCCTCCAGCCCATTACATTCCTTTTGCCTCCCAGTGGCACAGCGGTATGTCTGCGGACTTACAACGCTAGAAACCGGGTTTCGAT